GAGAGAGAGAGAGAGAGAGAGAGAGAGAGAGAGAGAGAGAGAGAGAGAGAGAGAGAGCGAGAAGACATGGGCAGAGCCAGATGCACTATAGCAACAAGCACTCTGGTTATCTTTTAAAACAAAGACCATGCTTGCTCTGAAATTGACATATTAATATTATACAATAAAAGTAGATACCTGTGAAGAAAATGTTGACACGAATTCATAATTTTAACCAGATCTGTATGAAAGCGCATCTGTTTGCACTAGAATTCAGACAACTTACTTAAACATTTTAAAACCCTTTCACCTAAAATATACCAAGAAAAAACCCATGACAATTTATGAAGATTGGCAGGTGTGCAACTGCTAAATTGGCATGCTACTCTCTTTGGTTTAAATATCTGTTAACAGCAGATGTAAACTGCATATAGCAGGTACCTTACCAAGCAGAAATAATGAACACAAATGCCCTCTTTAACAACGAGCTTTCCGTGCAGTAACTCATCATCATCATGTGCCGTCTGACAGAAAACACAGTGACCTGAAACACAGCTTGTTTCATTAGTAGTTCTTAGTGGTGTTCTCCCAGGTCAATGTAATTTTATTACTATCTAGTAGCACTTGATGTTTTAAACTGATTGAAATTACAATACATCCAGATATGCTGGCTGTAATATTATATTAAATAATTTAGAATAATTGTTGTACTGACTGCATTTAACTGTTCAAGTTGTTTTTTACAAGACATTGTATTTCAATGGTGTTTAAAGTGATTACGTCACTGAATAGTAAAAATAAAAAAAACATTTCCACTTTTTCACAAAATATAAGTAATTCTGTTCACTTTTTATGGTTAAATTGCTGCATTATACTTCCTATTTTACTATATTGTTCGATGTGAACATACACTCGTGACTCATACATAGGGGTATTAGCCCATAGCATATTAGCAATCAATTAATGTCAGGAACATATAATATCAAATGTCCAGGTTTTTCGGATTTTTAACTGATGATTTTAACTTACCTGATTTTTAACTTATCAGGTAAAAATTTGACGATACGTTTAGTCCCGTTAGTTCTTACTTTCAATGTAAAGAAAGAACAACAAAATTTTTACCAATTTTACCATAGAAAATTCGTGACGTAGTCAATTTAAAGTAGGATACAACTCGCTGAACTCAAGGGTTAAGCTGACCAATTTACCAGCATGGACCCATACCTGAATACTGCAATGTGATGGTAACAACTCTAAGATGCAACTACGTCGTCGCAAGTCATACCGAAATTTGAGACATTTTAAAAAAACAGAAAAAATGGTAAAGGCACTTGACGAAATTGACAAAGTGCAAAAGCATGCCTGCCTGCTTCTCTGGTTAGCACTCAATCTTACGATTCACTGAGGAATTTGTTTGGCAATGAATATGTCACATCTAGAGGCCAAAACAAACTGCAACAACAAATGACTAATTATGACCTTCAGCATCAAAATCTCAGCGATTTGCGTGGCCACACTGCAGGCATTAACGACTGGCGTTAGCTCAGTTTGTCTCCTTTCTTGCAACACAACAGCACAAACTTTAAGTTTGTAAACTTTGAGCAGCAACTCCGGTAAGAAATGTTTTTGTCACGTTCCGATGAAAACATCATCTATAAGGGTGATTGGCTATTTATAAAGGATATGGAGCTCACTTGCCATAGATATGTAATGGAAAGGTAACGTATCACCTGCGTATCAACCAACCACGTGAACAAACAAGATGCCACAGAAGTGCAACAACACACAAAAAGTGTATTTCGTGCACCCAGACACAGCTGTAGAGGACAGATTGCCACAAATATAGTAACGGACAGGAGCAAAGGATGGTGAGGATTGGTTAATAAATTTTGTTTCATGCGAAAGTCAATGGTAAAAAAGCCATGTTTGAGAGGACTGGATCCACGTGGTTTAGATGGCAATAAACACCTTAGATCACTATCTCAGTGCTGCCATGCACTCAGGATATTACCAAAAACGTATCAAATCTGTCCGGAGAAAAGTATCAAAATTGTCTAAAAAAAAGTATAAATTTGTATAAACCTACCATGATTTGTTACCTTATACCTTATTACCGAATACATTATAGCCTACGTGCAGCATGTAAACAAGCTTCAGGAATGATGTGTGCAATGTCATGAGGAGTTGTCTCTTGAACTCTCAGTTTGGAATATTTCAATGCAGTGTTTCCCTTGGCCAGAAAGGTCTGTAAGGCAGTAAATTTTTGTGTGATGTGTTTGTGTGTTGCGAGGTCCTAGCACAGTGAGCAGTGGATGTGCCTGGCCAGCTAGGGGGGGTCCGGGGACAAGCTCCCCCGGGAATTTTTTTGAAAAAATGGTGCAATTTGGTGCATTCTAAGCTATTCTGGACACATTGTATGAGACTCTTGAATCTCTTTTTCAAGTTATCAAAAGTTTCGTCAGTGACTGCGAGGCGGTGTTTTGGACAAATTTCTGTGTGGCAGCTGAGAATTTGAGCGAGGCGGCCTGCCTCGCTCGTGTCAATGCAGGGGAAACACTGCATAGTGCAATGGTCTGTCATTTGGTCACTGACAGCAGAGAGCTGAGCAAAAACACTCCACTGAACAGAGCACACATCACTCCTGCAACAAAACTAGCAAAGCACATCTTTAATCTCATCAAATACAGTGTACCTAAATGTAAGTCCAAAGAGTTTTGACCATCTTTGACAAAAAAGTATTTAAAAGTATTTATGCATGAAAAAAGTATAAAAAGTATATTTTCTTAAAAAAAAGTATAATACTTTTAAAAAAGTATAAAGTGGCAGCACTGCACTATTTTTAGCTATCTTTTCCACTGCAATCTTACCACAACCATGCACTTGAAGTTAAAAGGCGGTGCACGGTAGACAAAAAAAGTGCTTGTCATAGACATGCACTTCACGAGCCAACTTGTTCAAGATAGATATGATTGATGAGTTCACATTCTCACGCCAAGGACTATCTGTATTTAAGACAAAACCGAAAGAACAGGTTTTCCAAAACTGTACTATCAATACAGGGTCACCTGAAACGTACAGCTGGATATGAGTGACAATATAGCAGCTGAAGTACAAGTTCTTGCTGAGAAGTACCTGGATGTGTTTAAGAAAGAGCTGGGTTAGTGTACTAAGCGTAGAGTACAAATCTACCTCAAACCCGATGCTTATCTCGTGCTCTTTAGGTCAAGAGATGTTCGTTTCCTTAGGAAACATGTCATCAAGTAAGAACTGGAACAGGTAGTTAAAGGCAGAATGCTGGAGCAAGTGTGCAGAAGCCATCGTTATAATTTTGAAACCATTCTGTGCACTACATATGTGGTAATTTTAAAGCTATTATCTCGAATAAGTGGAAGTTTATTTGAGATAATAACTTTTAAGGGGTTTCTACACGTCTCGGACGTCGGACGCCCAGCTAATTTCGAAATTCAATGATTGTTACAGTCGCGTGGGCATGCTTATTGCTGTATATATGTAGGGGTGGGCACCGCTGGTATGAGGGAGCGACAGCAAAACTTTCCCGGAACGTTGCTGTGAATTTCATTACGATTTTCCATGTATATAGTCAGAAGCACGTGGTGATCTTTTTATTTTTGAATTGACACTATTTTGACAACGGCGGGTAAATATAGGAACATTTTCACAACGGCGTTGTTAAATTTGACAACGGCGGTGCGCCGCAGTGCCTCCTATGATAATGTAGAAGAAACCCTGCTATCAACACACTGTCATTATATTTACCAGTTGCCCCAGCCAATACTGGGGTAGTCTATGAAAATTTCATACCTTGCGGAATTGTTAATGAAACTAGAGTTAAATTATTTCTTCTCCTCCTCCTGACCATTGTGGTTGTCAAGATACAAGCAAAATCTGAAATGTGAAAAAATGTCAATGCTAGCTTACAGCTGCTTTCCCCTGAAATCCACAATTTATCGACTCAAAGTAGTGCTCTATATACAAGCAATTTGAGCAATTAATTGCAATTATCAATGCTAGTTTATAAACGAGATGTTTTAAAAATTGTTTATTTCGTTATTGTGAAAAACTACTATCCCAGACTCAAGTCACCTTTGAAGAAACAGCCAGTGGCATTTTGTCGCATCACTGGTAGTGTGTCTACAAACATTTTTGACAGCTTTTCGTCAGTGAAATGCAGTTTTAAAGTAGCAATATACTAGAATACTTTGGCATAATCCAATTTTTAGCATAAACATAAATTTACAAATAAACATTCACACAAAAAAAAACATTATTAATTCGTACATGACATGACAAATTTATCATAGCATGCAATTTACAATATCTCTCTGTCTGTATGTATCGCGAAACGTACCGTACTGTATTGTGGCCTACATTATCGAGATACATTATACCAGGAGCGTATAATGACAAAGGAGTAAGACACCGATTTGGTACTGATTTCTCTACTTTTTGTCGTACGAGTTCGATGTGAATAAAAATACAAATGTATACAAACATGAGCTTCTTTTGTTCACTGGTCCTTATTCCATCTTCCGGTAGTATTACAAACCGCGTAGCTTCCTTCGTTTTGACATAATTCGTACTTTTCCACGACATAGTTTTCACATTAGTTACCGTATTCTGGCGAGGCCACCCTCTAACTTCAACACACAGCTACTTCAATGAGGCGCGCCAGGGCTTTTCGGCCGTAGCCTAGTCGAGTGCAGAAAATTCGCCTAGAAATTAAGTTACGTTGCACCCATGCTGGGTTTAAGAATTAAAACTATTTTACATTTAAACTATAGTTAGAATGCCTTGTTTTTATGGTTGAATCTCGCAGTTTTTTTTAAAATAAACGCTGCGCTGGTAAAATATCTGAACTACTTCACCCGCGGAGGAATGATGTGTATAAATCGTTATGAGTAAACTGACGCTCCAGCCGATTGTAGCTTTTCGCACATGTGTTTTGCATTAATTGCATAGCAACCGTTAGATCTAGCCCGCGTACAGTTGCCGCTGGCGCTGCCTGAGGCGATCCCTGCTGTGCCTCATTCAAGAGCTGTGTGTGCGAATTTAGAGGGTGGCCTCGCCAGAATACGGTAACTAACGTGAAAACCATGTCGTGGAAAAGTATGAATTATGTCAAAACGAAGGAAGCTACGCGGTTTGTAATACTACCGGAAGATAGAATAAGGACCAGTGAACAAAAGAAGCTCATGTTGTATACAGTTTGTATTTTATTCACATCGAACTCGTACGACAAAAAGTAGTGAAATCAGTACCAAATCGGTGTCTTACTCCTTTGTCATTATATGCTCCTGATTATACCCAAGTGCAAGGGTGATAATTCAATTAAGTAAACACTCGGCTACGCAGATCTCAAGTGGTACATACCTACAGTGTACACTATTTTGTAGGGAGTGCCCCCCCCCTCAGATTTATCTCTTGTATAGTATTCTAGATAGATTTATGTCTACCTGCCTGCAGCCACGCCGAAAAAAATACACGGGAGCGGCGAGCGATTTTCGCTTCGCCGTCAGCTTTCAAAGCGCTCTGGTAACAACAATTACGAGAGCGAAAATTTTAAGAAGATACGAGAAAAAATCGCTCCGTGCCGCCGGCGAGCGTTAGAAATGTAGTTCGACCCCGGAGGCCCGAGCCCACCAGTTTTTGCTCGGGCATTAACAATAAGTTTTTATATCGCAGGGGTTATTATCAGCTGGGAGTGAGGGACGACCAGTGACACCAGACACGCACGTAACCAAAGCTCTTTAACTGAATTCGTCGCTGAATTTGTAGAAAGTGAACTATTTTTATTCAGTTAGATATCTAGAAGCAACGTAAACCCTATATATATACTTAAAAAATTCTAGACACTTGTAACTTTGGCGGATGTGCGCAGCATTTGATCTATGCATGGGGGGTACGTGGACTGGGAGGAGAAAAACCGAAAGTAAAACCTTACCCAGAAGCTCCTGGCACGTTCCTAAGAGATTCCAAGTACAAGTCTTTTTAACATACTAAAAGTTAACTAAAAACTCTCTCTGAAGTTCTGAACTTGCTCAGTCGATGTAAAAATAATAGTTGAAGATTGAAAGAAAAAAAAGATAAAAAAAGAAACTATTGAAAATAACCATACCATCATTACCATGATTATAATCTTGATTTCCTGTCTTTGTGATGTTACCTGACTATGGTACCTAGTGTAGTTTGCATGCTCTGTCTGTAGTTCGAATGAAATTTGAATACAGAATGTTGATTGGTTTTCTTAGTCGAGTGAAAATGACAGATAAAAAAAAATTGTGATCGAATGTAATTGTTGACGCATTTTTACACTGATAGGTGCCTGATACTGCGGCTTGAGTGGCTGATATGAATGGAATGATATTAATTAGAGTCAGTGATCCGAGAAATTGATGGCAAATTTTAACAAAAATCATAACTATATGAAAAGTTAGCTCTGGCCAACTCTAAAATAGCTCCGCTGTATAAAAAAATTACGAGAGCTCTTTTTTTCATACAAATCAAAAAGAGCTCTTCGTTAAAAAAACAGTAATTTTAGTCGCTGCTGGGCCTTCCCTTCGGCTCCGTGCTATAGGTAGCTTGCGACGCTGGGAGCTACCTGGGTGGAGCTAGATAGACCTCTTAATCTTTCAGTTAGTTACTGCCACAAATGCCATGCATATGCGATGATTTGTGTTGGCACAGAATGCAATGTTAGCACACAGGCATTTAGGAACGTCTTCATAAATAAAATAAAATGTATGGAGCAGGAGTAGAAATTAACTTTTGACAAGGCAAGGTTTGGGGCGGCCGTTGGACTCCCCTGCCTCAAAAAGAGGAGAGTTCGTGGCAAAATGCGCGGCCTGGTCCGCAGTCTGAAGTTTCAAAATTAAGATATTAACAATAACGCATGTGCTTGATTTTAAAAGATTCATGCGGTTGTTTTTTTATTTTTGCACATCTGCCAAAATTTTCTTTGATATTCGCTGAAAAAATATGGTGAATTCCGCCGACAGCGTGCTCTGGAATCGAATATTTAGTATAGCAGATTTTAGGAAGTTCACGACGGACTCCTGCATTATGTCAAATCCAGGGAGTCGACAAGTAAATCAGGAGTATTGGAGCTCCGGACTCGCGTTGAATTTCGCACCTGCATGGAAATTAAACATGAAATGTTATATACTACCGCTATATGTATATTATGTCATATGTTAGTTATGTAACTACGCATGGATGAGAAGTGCCACCTTGCTTTGTAATGTACTTAAACTCAGAAGTCCCAGCGGCTTTCGTTGCCAATTCTGCAGAATGTATCCGTTGACGAGTCCGAATGGCCCCGCGTCGGGCACCGCGCGAGCGCGGATTGGACAACTGGAGACAACTGGACGATGACCGCCCGCGGGAAAGTGGGACTCGTAAACGCGTATACAAACGTAACTATAAGTATACAGTATAACAGTGCCAGCCGGCAACTGTACGCAGGCTATAGAATACTTAGAGCTACCACCGGGCTAGTCTGCATTAGTTTTTGTGAAAGCAAGTTGATATACAGTGACACAACATTGGAAGTGTAATTGATAGGTAGTACTTGTGAATGTGCATTCATATTATTTCAGTTTTACTGACTCTGTCCCAAGTGCCTTTGCTGTGATTGAGTGTTGACTGTTGTTGCCGGCTGCGTATGAAAGTTGGGGTGTACTCCTTACGGCATTAGGAGTGTTCCCAACTTTAATGTCATTAATGGTCATAATAACATATATATATATATATATATATATGGTCTTATATTATTAGTTTGTGGTTTAATGTCATTTAGGTTAGGGTTACGATTATCAATCATTAATTATTAATCAATCATTAATGATATCAAAGTTGGGAACACTGGAGCGTTAGCCGAGAGTTGAACTTGAGACTGAGTCCGGACCGAGTTAGCCTCTAGCACAGGCACTTGGAACGTCTCAATAAAAAAAATTAATGGTAAATAAACACGAAATGTACCAAAGTCTCAATGTTTCTCTACTCCATTTCGCCTATAATCACCTGTAAATGCAGGTCAAATGCTCATCTGCAGCACACAAGTACACCGCACGCCCGCCATGTGCACAAACAACATGAATAAGAGAGCAGGTATGGAAAGCGTGATCGCAAAATTTGCTCGACGGATCGCTTTATTTCACACGAATCACAGAAATAAAACACATCCAAACAGCTCCATCTTTGGTATCTATGTGTTACATAAATGTTCACTGTTCCAATTATAATTCTGCCTTTGTTCTTTACGTACTCCGCTAGAGATATCTCATGAAATTCTGCAGGAAATGTTCTCTCCGTGAAAATGTAAAGAGACGAGATGTCTGTTTATACACGAGTAATGGGCGCATTGCATGCCGGGATACAGCTGCTGCCGGCCTCCGACCTCCGTTTCGAGGCCGCCAAGCCAAGCCACAATTGCCAGCGCAGGCATAACGTCACGCACACACAGACTACAGCCGATCGATCGAAG